CTCAGAGATGTGTATAAGAGACAGGTGAAACTCTTGTGTTCACTCTTGCATTCAAGAGAGAAATGTGTTTAAAAAAAATTGATAAAAAATTATTTTATGAAAGTCATTTGCTGATTTATGAGATTTCAAAATTCGCCTATACCGATTTCCGAGCTGCAACCCTTAAGCAATGAAACCACCCCTTGCGTTTGGCATTTAAAAGAGAACTGTGCTTAAAATTCGAAAAATAAATTATTTTATAATGGAAAGTTATTTGTTGAGTTACTAGCTCTCAAAATAAGCATAAATCGGACTTTCAAGCAGTAATCCTTTGGCAGGAAAATTACTCTTTGCATTCGGCATTCAAGAGAGAACTATGCTTAAAATTTGATAAACAAATTATTTTATAATGAAAAGTTATTTGTTGATTTATGAGCCCTCAAAATATATCGATTTGTTACAGTTTTTCAAATGAACTTGCATAAAGTATCTTGTATTTTTGCCTTGATAAAAATCCAATTTTATTTCAGAAAGTAAACATAGTTTTTTTGCAATCTTATCCTGTATTTTCTCAAGAAACCTATTTTTTCCTTTGTCATTGTTTTATTACTACAAAGTTTTGACTTTTATAAGAAATATATATGATTTTTTTTAAAAACTTGTGTTTTGTCTTGTTATTATTGTAACTTTATTCTTCTTATTATAACTTTATTTATTTAATCGCACAAATATTAACTATTATTTGCCGTTGGTGTTCTTTAGACAGATTAAAAAAAGTAACGCTCAATTTTGATTATTTTTCTGCAAGTTTAGAGTGAATATAAATTTGCTGAATAATATTTATTATCTATGTATCAAAGGTTTACATAATTTTTTTGTTAAAGAAATATTTTTAAGGAGGCTGTATATTGGGCTGTTAGATATCAAATACTATATTATTATTATTTTATCATTACTCACTTACTGATTACAATTTATTGTTTCAAAATATGTATACGTTATACATTTGAACATTATAATTTGTTAAATATATGCTATGCAATTTGAATATTATATGCAGGGCTGGACAAAATACATCATTAAAATATTTAAAATACAAAATATAAAATACTTTTAGTCTTTCGATTTGAAATACAAAATACATAATACTTTCAATTTTTCGATTTGTAATACAAAATACAAAATACATTTTAATTTAAACTCTTCACTTTTAGAGAGTGAAAGAAAAGTTGTTTTACTCTCTTACAATTTCTTTTTTACTCTTTAACAGTCCTATTGTCCTGTATCAATCGCACGAGAAATCTATTTATTAATGTGAGATTATGAAATTTGACTCTGATTACTTGATATTGCTTGAAATTTAACGAAAATAATTAATGTCGCTAATTGTCATAGGAGAAAAATTTAAGTTACTATTAATTGTTGTCAAGAATTTTTATCAATAATTTCTTTAGTATTTCAAATACGAAATAGATTGAGAAATTTTATTTGAAATACAAAAAACATTGAATAATTCTTTTGAAATACAAAATACTTTTAAGTGCTAAATACGAAAATACAAATTGTATTTCGAATACTGTATTTCAAATACAAGTATTTGAAATACAAGTATTTGAAATATGCCCAGCCCTGATTATATGTATATATACGTTACGTACATTGAATATTATATATGTATGTATGTACGTTATATATTTAAACAAATTTTTTTAATTGTTTTCTGTTTGGTATTTTTTCTTACTGTATACATTACTGTGTGTGCTGTTATAGAGCTCTTACACCGTCTGTCTGAAACAAAAATTGTAATTATATAATATATATAAGTACACGTAAGCATACGTTTATAAATATATGCGTACTTATTTTTTGTGAATAGGATATTTAAAATTAACCTGCTTCTTTGATTCTTTTATGTTAAGTGGTGAGTATAATGCACTACTGTTTAATTCAGTATGTGCGCCGTTAACTTCTTTTCGAGCATTTGCAATGAGTATCCCTTCTAATGTTTCTTCCTTACTTGTTTCTTCTTTATTTTTACCCAAAGCAAGAAACTCATTGGTACGAGAATCCGAAATAGCACGCAGTAAATGTATACTCCATCCGTGTACACGATGAAGCGTATATCCACGTACAATTATATCCCCTGCAAATTTAATTACTCGGCAAATAAATAAAAATCCAATAATTGCTGCGCAAGCACGTCCGAATGTCTGTATCGAATCCCATATTTTAGCCCAGGTAAATTTTTTAGCTGTCTCATCTAAGAGATTTGAAATCGAGGAGCCTTGGTTATTAACTGGTTGTCCTGCCATGTCATGTGCAAATGTGTTTAGTTCAACTGGCTGCTTTATAGGAAACATAATTTTGTCGTGAAGTTTATTTAAATCTTCTTGTTTATCTGCACCGCTTGTCCCAAGAAATTCCGGACCTGTATATTTCCATGTTGGTTTTGTATTTGGTTGTATTGTTTCCGTAATTTCTTTTTGAGCTTCCTCGTCTAAGAAGCTTGTAGTTAGTGGCTGCTTCGTAAGAAACATAATTTGATCGTCGTGAAATCGTCTATCTAAATCTTCTGGAGTATATATACCGCTTATCGCAAGATTTGGCGGAATTATAAATTCCCATGGTTCTATACTTGGCTGTATTGTTTCAGACGGTTTAGTTTCTCTAGCGTTTGACAGGAATTCGTGTATGCCGTATGCTGCATTCCAACATAGTGTTAATATCACCAGAGTTTGCAGTGATGACATCTGAAAAAATGCATTTTTATTACATTAAATATATTTAAATAAATACATAAATTTATAAATATATTACTTTATAACGTTATTATTGTTTTTCGTTACTTTTTTTAGTAACGACCCTTACTTATTTTTTCTATTTGTAATGGTAACGTCGTAATTTACATTAACGATAATGAATTCGCCATTACTTTTATTGTTACTTTTATATTTTCTTTTCATTTTCTTATCTTATTTTATAATATTATAAAATTTTAATATATTTTTAGAAAATTATTTTGTACTCTCTATACCTCTTAAGGAGGTATTCTAGTGTGTCCAATCCAAAAAATCGATTTTTTTTTATATTCTTATAGTTTGTGGCGTTGAAAACGTGTAACTAAAATATTAAGATGAAATCCGTCAAATTGACAGAATTATAAAGATTTAAAGAACGCCGCCGTGCCCGAGATTTCCATACGGATTGTTTGCGTGTCAGGTAGTTTACGTGGCCAAATGGTGCACATATAACTCGGGAAAAAGATATCGTGTACGGTCCTGGCATAGCTAGAAATTTTAAACGCGTTTTTCTCGAAATGACATTTTCCAAGTCGGGCCTATATTTTTCTCACAAACTACTGGGGGCCGATCGACTTGCACTTTTGCATACATATAATGTATGTACATATTAGGCTATCGTTTAATCTTCCAATTTTTTGATCTCTTTAAAATTACTATTTTTCCGGACCGTGAAAAGTAAATATATTTTTTAAAAAACAGAAGTACTGTCTTTCAAGCATCGCCATTTTGTTAATTGTTCTTCACATTATTTATTAAAGGGTCGAACGATAATCACATTTGTAAAGAATAAAATTAAAAAAAATTCGTTTATTTTAGATGATAAAAACGCAAATATCACGCCCGATAGAAGAGTTATTTTGAAACATACATATATATGACCTGTAAGTTCATTTGTACCGTGTATAATTTACAATAAAAAGCTTTAAAAAAATTTGAGATGTTACTTCAGAATATGTATAAACATGAAATGTGAATACAAAACATTAAATCTGTAGGCTTAACCTTTTTTATAAAATTAATTTCTAAAAATCATCTTAAAAACGGACATTTACACTAGAATACCCCCTTAATTAGGGTACATTCCGATAATCTACTTGCAATTGAAAATCTATAATCCACATTAAATATACATATACTGTAGACTTTCTTTACTAAAAGTGAATATTGGAATTCGTTCTTAATAATTTATGTTTAAGAACAATAACTTTAATCTAACTTTCTATAAAAATAATTAGTAATATAAGCAAAATTTTACTATATACAAACTATATATTGTAGTTTAGAGAGTTTCAAGTTTAAATATTTATTACATTTAATAATAATTATCATATAATATAAATTGTAAAATATAAATTGATTTTATAAAAAAAGGAACGAAAAAATAACGAATTGTTATTTTTAAAGTAACGGTAATAGTATCGCGTTACTTTTTAAAATCAGTAACAAGTTACTTTTTTACAAAAAATAACAATAATGATAGCGTTATTTTGTTAAGGTAACGTTCCCAATCATACTTGTAGAATATGTTGTTGTGTGTGTGTGTGTGTGTGTGTGTGTGTGTGTGTGTGTGTGTGTGTGTGTGTGTGTGTGTGTGAGTGAAATCCCGCTAGAAAATCAAGGACACCAAGAGAGTCGGAACTCCCGCGAGTCACAGTGTTCAGACATCGTGAATAATATCGGAGAAAAGCCAGAACCTAAACCCGGGCCCAAAGAAACGCCGCGAGGGTATCAAGGACACCAAGAGAGTCGGAATTCTCGCGAGAATCAGTGTTGAAACATCGTGAGTGATCCGGTAACCGCGCGGAGGTAATCCGGAGAGCTCGACTCTGAACTCGGGCCCAAAGAAACCCCGCGAGGGAATCAAGGACACCAAAAGAGTCGGAACTCCCGCAAGTCAGTGTTCAGACATCGTGA